TGTGTTGCTGATTCCAGTTGGTCTGGGTTTGGTTTCACCTTTGTCTTGGTCTTTATTTATGCAAATAGTTAAAATTGAGTTATGGTTCTTTTAATCTAATGGACTTGCTCACAAAACTAGGTGTATTTCTTCCAAAACTAAGTGTTATCTTAAGAATTCGGGTATTTCGGGTATATTTGATGATGAATATGCGCGTTATTGGATATTTTGGGAATATATTAGCTATTGTGTGCTGATATACGAGACTCATTCATTCATTAAGGGCAACTTACTATTTATTCGGCAAGAAATCATTCGCATTCAAAATCTAATAATTGTGATAGAATTGAGTTAACCTTGTCTTGCTGTGACTGTCTTTATACCAGGAAAGCCCCGATGACCACCAATCTCCAACTTCTGATAATAAAAGAGGTCTGCAAGGGATCCCGTGGAAGGATTTCTCAAAAGGTAATTTCAGTATCGAGAAGGAGGATATGGGGAGAACATCCGGAAAGAATGCCATTGAGAAACAAGGAGATAAGTCTGATTCGGTTCGTAAGAGCAAAAGGGTTCCGAAAAAACGAGTTCTCGATTCTGATTTTGACGATGACGATGAGGATGATGAGATCCGGTATTTGGAGAAACTCAAGTCCTCAAAGCTGTCAAGCAGAAAGCTGCAAAAGGAAAGTAAATACGAGAATTCGGAAGAGGAGGAAGAAGAACCATACTCTGATGGTGATAACGAAGGGAAGAAGAAAAAACTGAAAAAGGATCTTTCGGAGTTGGGCTCGGAAAACAAGAGAGAAATGGCTCTTACGTCTCGTCAGAGAGCCCTTCTAACCAAAGATGCTTCTGTATCTGGTGGAGCTAGTCAAATCGAGTTTCCGAATGGGTTACCACCAGCCCCACCTCGAAGTTAGTATTATTTTTATTTTAAAAAAAAAATTGGATCTCTCTCCTTGGAGTTAGTCTGTTCTAACTTATACTTCCAAAAATTTTTATGAGACAGAGCAAAAGGAGAAGTTATCAGAAATGGAGCAACAACTGAAGAAAGCTGAGGCTGCTCAGAGGCGGAGATTGCAGAATGAGAAAGCAGCCCGTGAATCAGAGGTTCTCAAATGTNTTTCTTAATAGATATATCCTTTTCCTTTTTGCTTCTTAACAGGTTAATTTAAAATTGTACAGGCAGAGGCAATTAGAAAGATACTTGGGCAAGATTCCAGTAGGAAGAAGAGAGAAGAGAAGATAAAGAAACGCCAGGAAGAGTTGGCACAGGTACTATGTGCTTCTAGGATGAAATATTTTGGAAGTTCTTCACTATTATTATTATTTTTTTTACACTGCTATTTTGTTCATGAAATTAATAATTGAAAAAACAGGAAAAGGCTGCTCATGCACTAATGCTTGCATCGAACACCATTAGAACAGTCATGGGACCTACTGGGACTACTGTCACATTTCCACAAGAGATGGGTTTGCCTGAAATCTTCGACTCCAAACCGTGCAGGTAGCTTTGTTTTGTTCTCTCCTTATCGACTAATTTTGCAGGGTAACTACAGATACTATTCTTGAAACTCTTAGCTTGATGGTTCTCAGTCAAAAACCACAACCTATCAATTGGGTAAAATTAATTAGTAAAGTAAAAATACACCTCAGGGACAATTTGCAATAAAAAAGACAACGACGTCTGTTAGTAATTAAGTTAAACCTCAAGCTATAGTTTACTAAAACCTTTATTGTGTAAAAAGTCTGTTAGTAATTAAGTTAAACCTCAAGCTATAGTTTACTAAAACCTTTATTGTGTAAAAAGACACTAATGTACCGATTCATTCCGAAATCTCAGTTATCCTCTTCCGCGTGAGAAATGCGCGGGGCCCTTCTGTACCAATGATTATAAGTACCGTGATTCGAAGTTAAAGCTTCCTCTTTGCAGTCTCGTGTGCTACAAAGCAATCAACGAGAAGATTAATGCTGGGAGAGCCTGCTAAAAGTTACGGCTGTGGGTTATATCAGTTCATAACAAGTGATCCTTACATATACATGTAGTTTTCGTATAAATTGCCCGGTCTTTTGCTCACAAGGCAGAAAACACTGGGATTTATGGTAATAGTCCCGAGTCTATAGGAAGGACCTTACTGCAAATACTTATTTTTGCATCAATTGTAGTCATGATGCTTGTATTATGTGACTTGTTTTTAAGCTTTATCTCCCTTGTAAGCTGATAGACATGTCAAAGACAATCAGTTATGGGAATGAAATGTCCTACACAACTTGATCTTTGGGTTCCTATATGAAGCATCGAAGATTTGTATACAAATTGTAATTTTAGATTATTTTTGTTCCTCATTTAAAAACTTTGTTAAAAATGGTACTTTGATGTGACTTTTATAATTCTTTCTATATCACATCATATTACTAAAATTGGTAATTTGATGTAATTTTTTTAGTTATTTTTCTCTCACATTTATGTCTTTTAAGTGTATGTTATTGTTTAGCGTCTTGCCTTTTTATTTTTTTTCAATTAAATATCGTAGAGTTTTTCACCATACTAGTACATATCCCGTGCGATAGACATGGCCAAAACCCGGGTCGGGTCACGACCCGGCCCGGCCCGCCGGGTCGCCGGGCTCAAAAACACTGACCCTGAACCGGCACGGACCTATACTCGTGCTGGGTCCGTGTTCGGGCCGTGTCGAGTCCGGGCCGGGTCCGTGTTTTTAAAAAAAAAAGGTATAAAAAAATAAAAAAAAAAATTGAAAAGAAGGGTTATTGACCCGGTCCGGTATGAAATACATCGCACGGTATGAAATGTATGACCCTTACACGGCCCGTCTGAAATCTGGGCCGGTTCTGGACCCGTGGTCAACGAGTTTGACCGGGCCGTATCAGTGCCGGGTCCGGGTCGGCAGGCCGGACGACCCTTTGGCCATGTCTACCGTGCGATGCACAGACTGTAATTATTTTGTGAAATATTATAAATTGAATGATATGAATCAATAAGTAATAAACATTATAAATTTTTAGTCATGAAATGTATATTTCTTTTATGTTCTATAAGGTGTTTTTTCGTATGGTTGTGATAGGATATTTATAATCCCCACACTCGTTTTTAAGAGCAACACATATCTTTTAACATTAAGAAATATGGGAAAATTATTTTGTATATTATAAATTGATGTGATAGATACCAAAGATTATGTTTATCTAGTGAAAATGCTAGTTTATGGCAATTTCCAAATACAATTATCATATAATGTGGATTTTGTGATTATCTTGTTTACTATATTAGTAATTTTATACATCGAATGGAAATGTAATATTTTAAATTCTTTTGTTAACTTCCGTAAGTGATTTAGTTTGTCCAATTTGTAGTTATTGCGATAATATGTAATAACGTGATAAATTATTATTTTTATCGGCTGGAATGAAAAATATTAAATCAAGATTTATAAAATTGGTATTGTAAATAATGGATTTGTGATTATCTATTTATCTTGACATTTTTTTTGGTGATTTATATCATTGTAATTCTATACAAGAATGGAAATGATTCAAATGTAATAATCTGTAGTTAATGTAATAATTTGTAGTGACATGATAAAATATTGTGTTTATCGGTACAAAGAGAATATATTAAAATAAGATTTTTAAACAAACCGTGTAAATTAGATCTTTACCATAAAAACAACAACATTAAAAAGGGATCATATCTTAGAATTTTATCGTAAAGCAAAACAAAAAATAAAAACTGAGTATTATATTAAGATCGTTTTTAAACAAACCGTGTAAATCAACAAAAAAATAGCGAAAACGTTACAAAGGAATTGTGTATCAGAATTTTTCCACAATCAAAACCAAAGATAAATCTGATTTTCATTTCGAAATGCAAAACAAAATTTATCCGATATGGAAGGAATATCATCAAAAAACAGTTTTTGAAAAAATTCAAAGTTCCGAAAAATAGATTTAAGCGGAATCCGAAAAAATTTCAAACACAATATTAGAGGGAAAAACAGGTTTTAAGCGGCAAAATGAAATATTTTTCCAAATAATTTTTTTTTTTCTGTATTATATATTAATAGATTTTTTCAATTTTATTTGTAATGTTTAATTTTTTCGAAGTTTGACGTTTTAAATGTTTTAATAATAAATATATTGGTACATGTCCAATTGTTACAAAACCCCTCAATCAACCCATCTACCAAGTACCAACACATGAAAAAATTCATAGGACAAACACTAGACTACAATAATATTTTCATTTTCTTTTTTTCTTTTTTCTTTTTTCTTTTGTAAATTGATTACTAAAAAAGGAAAAATAGAAAATGTTTTTACAAACTATAATAATTATAAACTGCATCGGCCCTTTGCCCCGCCCGAAAAAAAATCTGTGGCCCGAGTCCGACCACACCCTTGCCGTCAACTGGATAAACCTCTCCCCACACCACCGTACCGCCGCCGGCAATCTCACCGATGGCGCATTCATGCGTCTCCTCTTCCCTTAATATAACCTCATCCTCACTTTCTATCTATTCCCCCAACCCTAGCTCCTCGCATTCTTCATCCTCCAAGAAGTTCTCTCTCCCACTCCAAACCCCCCGTTCACGGCATGAAATTTCCAGAAAAAGTAATAAATCGAACTTCAAGTGCTCTTCCGTGAGGGCTGTACACGCGCCGGATTTTTCTGCGCCGGAAAGGAGCTCGCGAAGTGGTATTTGGTCGATTAGGTAAGTGTTTTGTTTGTGTGTCGTTGCCTGGTTTTCGAAGGGTTAATTTCAGATTGGGTGTCTTTATCCTGGTGTTTCACGCATCAATCTGGATTCCTCGCGAATGTAATTGCTAGTGATTTGGTGAATCCACTCGAGGAGCATGTGAAATGATAGTACTCTGAAAACCTAACCAGCTCGTATGATAATTTGGGTATCTCAGTTCGTCATACCTCTTTCAGAAGCTCAAGAAAGTTGCTTAGTTTGAAAATTTTCTTATAATTTGATCCATAACAATTTTTGCTTGTATTTTGTAGTTGGATTGCTTTCATTAGAGCTTTCTCTTAGAGTGAAATTGTGAATGTTGATAGCTGGTTTTTGTTGTTGATAGGGATGGTTTGCAAATTCCATCATCGCCATACTTTCCAGTTAATGCACGGGGGCCAAGGGGACCATCACCCATGGTGCAAGAGCGTTTTATGAGTGTCATCAGCCAGCTTTTAAAATACGTGAGGCTATGTTTGATTGAACTGAAATGCATGATTTTTCCCGCAACATTGATTCTAAAGTTGGCTGGTCAATCTAATTGTAGAGGATAATACGATGTGGTGGGGAAGTGAATGACGACATGGCAAACACAATTGTAGCTCAGTTGCTCTGCCTTGATGCTGCAGATCCTACGAAGGTCTTCATGCCTCTTTTTTTATTTTTATTTTTTTTTGGTCAAATGTAATCTTTTTTATTTCGCAATCATTTTGAACTACGAATTAAGCTGCAAGATCACTTTAGGGTTGTAGTTTTGTGGTTGCATACATTTCCATGCTTGCACGTCAGGGGCTACCATGGATAAGGATTTAGTTATGTTTAAACCGCCACAATCAGATTAACTCAATGCTTTCATCATTATCAATGTTAGCTACTTGGCTATATATTTAATTCACTTCTCAGTTTCTGCCTTTACATAACTTGCATGCATTTGTTTTTATTTTACCTTGTTGCTGAAATTCTTCTTCGTCTTTCATTTTGCTTCTTAAATCTTGAGATTGGTCGATGTGAGGAGTAAAAGATAGAGATGTTAATTCCAATGCAGTAGCACTATTTTTAGGTGCTACTATAGATTATTATGTTGGTGGATACTTCACTGATCAATATCTGCATTGTAATTGATCAGGATATAGTCATGTATATTAACTCTCCTGGTGGATCAGTTACAGCTGGTAATACATCTTTTTCTTCAACATCACATCTCGTTTTTAGATTTTTCAGATTACTTATGTTTACTCTTTTTTTTTTAGGTTATGCAATCTTTGACACCATGAGGCATATTAGGCCCGATATCTCAACCGTATGTGTTGGACTAGCTGCTAGGTGAGATTCATTGACTCTTACAATTGATATGCAGTTTATCTATAGTTCGAAACACAACTTGGAATTCTTCTCCTTTCAGTGGACTATGCAGTTCTTGAGCAATTTATTTGTTTTGAAAACTAAATTAAAATGTAGCAGTTATAAGTAAGATTATTATTATCTTGTCTGTGGCTACAAACATCATTAACTTGGCTGCTATATCATGTTTATCTCAACTTTTTGACAAAATATTTTGATAATGTCTGCTATGTTTTGCAAATGCATATTATAATTCCATCTGTTGATACATGACATGTTCATTGATACTGTGATTTGGCTCCAGCATGGCCCAATTCTATGAAATTTCAGATATGAAATTAGTTGTGATGCTAACTATTCATACTCCTTATTGATGTGCAGTATGGGAGCCTTTCTATTGGGTGCTGGTGCTAAAGGTATAAGATTCAATTTTATTTAATGAGTTTTATATAGTAATGATGAAGCTTTGTGAGTGTGTGTGTGTGTGTGTGTGTGTGTTTTTTTTTGTCATTTCCCAAAATCTATAATATATTTTTCATGTTGATGATCATTCCAGGTAAAAGATATAGCCTACCGAATTCGAGAATAATGATTCATCAGCCTCTTGGCGGAGCACAAGGTTCGTCGACTGACATTGATGTTCAGGTAAATATATCTTCTATAAAAAGCATATGATAATTCTGTTTTAACTAGTCTGCCGATATATATACACATTCTATATAATATTATATATTCCCCAGCACAATTTAAGAGTTTCTGGTTTTGTATTCGAATTTTTTCCACATAATGTACTTTACTTGCAACTTATAATTATCTGCTGACTTCTTCTTTTCCCAGGCAGATGAAATGATGTATCACAAAGCTAATTTAACTGGCTATTTGGCCCAATTCACTGGCCATAGCTTGATGAAGTTATACGACGACACTAATTATGATTATTTCATGAGTGCTAAAGAAGCCAAAGAGTACGGGCTCATAGATGGTATCATCTTAAACCCTCTTAAAGCCCTACAACCACTTGCAGCTGCAGGACACAACAGTAATAATGATTCGAGTGAGTGAGCAAGAACTTTGAGCTATTGTTTGCTGTATTTTGATGTGTTCTCATCGAGAAATCACAATGTACTGGCATTTACGATTTCCATTCGAACGAACTTTTAGTGATTTATCTCTTTTGAGTTGGGCATGTGATTTGAAATATTTCTAAGGTTGAGTTTTCATTCTCAATGTATTGATTGTCGAGTTCGGGACTGTTCTGTTACGAACTCCATGGATTTTTATTTATCTGAGCCTCCTTTAGGACATTGAACTGTAAAGAGCGAGAGGAAGGTGTTTGAGGAAGCCAATACATATCTCATGGTTGTTGTTATGTTGGTGAAACACTTATTTTAAAACATGATCAATAAATGATGCAAAGTATACTTGAGAATTGTTCAGTTGAAGCCAGAAAAGAGTATATGGATGATGATCAATGAATTGATGGATGCAAGGAGACAAAAAGGTTAAACACAAAAACTAGATAGGGTAAAATGCAAAAACATATAACATTGGATGAGGTCCTTTGACTTTTATGGTATCTAGCCTTTGTTGACTAAGTGAGAAATTAAATAATTTTCTTTTTTTCGAACTTTCAAATTTCGCTTCTTTATCAATATTGATAAGTTAGTGCTCGAGCCATAACAAGTCAACTTATAAAAAATTAAATAAATTTATTTCTTTCGAATCATAACATTGAGTCGATTTAGCTCGTTTATGTTTGATCAAATAAGCCAATAAGCTAACTTATCAGTAATTTTCGAGCTTATAGCTTATGATTTATACCTGAAAGCTAGCTTATATAATAAAAGTGTTTAGTAAAATTAGCTGATAAACTAGCTAAAATAAAAATTTCAACGAGTTTATTTGAAAAACTATCTAAAAAAACTTATCAAATAAGCTAAGCTTTTTTAAAAAGCTCGTACTATTAAATGAAGCTTATTTAAATACAAGGAGCTTATAAAAATTAATATAAAAATTTCTATTTAAAATGCGCCTGGCCACCTCAGCGTCTCTCCACTTTCGAACCCGATTCTCCTGATATTTTTCACCTCTCTCTCTTTCTCGCGCCCTGTTCATCACTCTGAAAATATTCTTTCAAGGAATCGAACCGATGGTGTCAAAATCTAAATTCAGAGTTTGTTTTCTGCTCTCTCTACAGCTCTNTGTATCTTCATTTTTCCAAAATTTTATGTTTATGTGCCAAGATTTTTTATTCCGCTTTAAGAACTTGATGGTGCTCGTGTGATTTGATTTGATTTTATTTTATTTTTCTTTTTTATTTTTTTGTTGTAATTATCCTCAAAATTTGAGCTTGTGCGTCGCACGCCTGAAAGCTTGAGCTGGGTGGTAGTATCGAATCTACCGACTGAGAAAGTACCAGTAGGAATATGTCTTTGTTAGCTGTATGTAGATTGTTGATTCATAATGTTTTCATTTTCCTTTTCCTTTCCACCGTGTTTTACTTGTTTATTTGTCTGTTATTTGTTTCTGTCTCTACCGATCTATTTCCTTGACAGTCATAACTCATATGATTTGGTCATCTTGTATGCAAAAGGTTTCAGCTTTGTTGAAATTGTTTTGACTTTTGAGTTTTATGCTATCTTGTGAACGAATAAATTCATGAACTGATTATTACTTATTCATCTGGTTGACAGAAGTTTCATGGGGAACTGGGAAGTGATGCCGTGGCAAACTTGGGTGTTAAACTTACACAGCTGAAAAGGCAGATACACTCAGAAAGAGTTGTTTCAGTTGGAGTATTTTTCGCCA